AAACTCTGGAATATTTATTTTTTTATTTTAACGAATCATTTTATTGGGGGCTCTTACAGCTCTTATAACCATCTATGGAATATTTACTTTTAATGTTCAGTGATAAAAGCTTTGTTTTTAAATTCAAGCCATCCTTTCTATACCTAAGAACTGTGAGGTCGTTAGTTTATTGTGCCAACCTGGCCGATAAACACATGTGGGGTTAATTGAAGGGTAGAGGAATAAATGGCTCAGGGAGCCTCACCTTTCGAATTCTCGGGTCTCTTGTTTGTGATGGTTGCACCAGGGTGCAGCTGCCTTAGCAGTTCCCTGCTTCAGGTGGCAAGGCTGACTTCCTGCCAGACATCCCCAACGAGAAACCACACGGAACTACCCCATGCAGCCCTGGGTGCTGGAGCAGCCGTGTGGAGACCCCTGCCAGTGCTGAGATGTTTACACATTCACTGACTCGGCTTTCCTCCTGCAGTCGGCGTCATTACGTCTGTTTTGTGAGATGAAGGAGGACTTTGTGGACTGGTGTCAGACATATGGGCTAATGTTGGACTTGTGGACTTGTGCAGCACTGGGTTGGGATGTTTTCTTGATGTGCACTTAACCTTTTTATAAGACTCTCTCTTATGAGTTTCTGTGGATTTGTTTCTCCACAGTACCCAGAGTCACACAAACCGCAGGTAGATTTTGAATGGAAAATTGAATATATGAATGCTGGGAACTCACCAACACTCCAATTGCTTGCCTCTTCTAAAGCACTTCACAAGAGCTGGACATCATGGTACACGGATTGTCTTTAAATGGACTTTCTAACGTATATAGAGACTAGCTCATAGGTGTCGTTCCTGTGTCTGGATTTTATCTCAGGAGTGAAAAAAAGAAAAAGCTGTGCATACATTTGGTCCATCTTTCTGTCTCCACGGGCCCAAGATGAAGAACTCACTTTCTAACTCAGAAGATACCAAAGACAGCTGTTTTACTCACATCTGTTTGTTATAAAACAACTCTCCCTTACCCCGCTAAGCTTATTTCTCTACCTCTAATAGAATAAACCCTAGTGGAGCTGTGGGTTAAGCATTGGGCTGTTAACCTTCAGAGTGGCAGTTCAAACCCACTAGCTGCTCCAAAGAATGATGCAGCTGCCTAGTCCCAAAAACGGTTTACAGCCTCAGAAACCCTAAGGGGCAGTTTTGTTCTGATTTCCACAGGGTTGCTAAGAGTTGCGATGACTTGATTGATGGCAGTGGCTCCCCTGCCCACTCCCCTTACAACTTACAACTGCACGTATCACTTCCATATCCCTCTCCCACGGAGCTGGAGTTTGTGTGAGCAGAGATGGGGTTCTGTTCTTTCCATCCTCCGAGTCTAAGCCATTTGCTGGCTCGCAGCAGGCTCTCATTAAGCATTTCCTGCCCCCAGGTGCTTATTGGAACGCTTTAGCTAAGTGCCGCCTGGGTATATGAGTGCTTGGTAAGACATGTCAAAGGATGTACACTTCCCATTTAAGTATTTTTCTCCAAACAAGAGGAGTGAGGAGTCTGCACATCTTTCTTTCTGGCTCAAATCATTGCTTTCAGGGCTGCTGGAAGAGAGAATACCGATTTCAACCACGAGCAGTAGCGATCACTGCAGTCAAGATGAACGTTCCGGTTGATGACAGCTGTCAGGCGAGGACCATGTTGACTGTGGTCTCAGGAACTCACCAAGGTCTTTCTCCTCTCTCCTTCCTTCCTCTCTCCCTTCCTTTTGGCACAGCAGCCCTGGTAGCTCCATGTTCCGGAGGAGCCACCAGGGGAAACACTCACTGGGATCCCGGAGTCACTGGGTGGAAGCGAGACAGAGAGCTGGAGGAGCCACTGGACCTATGAGTAGGCTTTGCATGATGAACACACCAACCTGTGTGCTTAGAATCCCTGAACTAACAGGGGGTGTATGTTCCATAGCATGCCTGGCACCTCCCCTGGCGATACAGAAACGTCCTTTATAAAAAGAAGTAAGTGGAAAGGAAGGACGCTTGGTCACAGCAGCAGTACTTCTGGGAATGCTTTTCTTGTCCATACCTATCAACTGGAAACTTGCTTTGTGATCTTTCAAGTTCGCTTCAAGCAAAGACCCGGAAAGCCTTGACTTGCAAAAGGATTTGTTACTCAGTCATGACAGCACTTTCATTTCTCGATTTCTGAGGAATGTACTGAAAAGGTGTCACCTTTTCTGGGGGTGTGGCCTTTTATAAGAGAGACTTTGGGACTTTCCCTCCCTGTCTGCTTGCTGGGACTCTGTGGGCCCCCAGACCTTGAGAGCTGTAGGTGCCCTGCCATGTTTCCACCGACCTCGGATCCACGTGACTCTGCACCCACCAGCCTGTGATCTCCTTGCATTCCACTTCAACTTTCTGGGACCTAGACTCTGACTTCAAGAGTCTGAAGAGGGTTCTAGCCAACATCGGACCCATGCACTTGTCTTGGACTAGGCTGGGATGCTTTCTCGATATTGTTTCTTTTGATAGATGCATGTCACTGGTTTTGGTTCTCTAGACAACAGAGCCGAGTGTGGAAAACCCTTTTTAATCACACATATAAAGTAGAATATCTCGATACACGCACACCCGTTTTCTTGGCCTTCATTTTATTGCACTTTGCAGACATTGAACTTTTTACAATTGGAGCCTTGGGATGAACCTGCATCGACCAAGTCTATCTATGGTGGGAGGGTTTTCCCCCCTCCTTTTTAAACAGCATGTGCTTACTGCTCATCTCTGTGTCACATTCTGGATAATTCTCACACTATTTCATAACTCTTCACAACGTGATTGCTTGCTGGGCTCCAGCGCAGTGTACATGGAACTCTTACTTGCACCGGGAAACCAGAAAGTTGGTGAGACCCACTCTCTATGGTGATAGCCACTGTACTGAGATGGTCTGGAACTAGACCTGTGCCATCTGTCGTTTTCATTCCTCAACCTTTAGGGACAGGAAAGAGACCTCCTACATGGCCTACCCATGCGGACAGTCCCGGAGCGATGGCTCCGGTGCCAATCTCAAAGGGAGGCACGGACATGCCATGCAGTTTCTCCCTGAAGAACATGAAGTCACAAAGTGTTGTCAGACTGTCAAGTCTACTGGAGGCTCATAGGCTACTCATTTCTAACCAGTCCATCCCAAAATACAGAGGTCTAATTTCACTTGACAGGTTGTTAAATTGGGCTTTTATATCACCTGGTTAGTTTAAGTCAATTAGTCTTGGAAGTGATAAATATACAACTGCCAACTACTATAGGAGTTTTTAAAAAAATGAGCTCTGGAGGCAGAAAAAACATTGATGGAAATAAATCACCTCCGTCTGTAAACTCTGCAGCAGCAGGAGTGAGCTACTTTTGGAAGCTCTTTTAACTGATTCTATTCCATGGGCCTCCTGTTCAAAGGGTATTTCCATTGATGGGCCTCTTCCCATTCATTCATACTTTCCCTGGGAGTGCCCCCTTGTGGCCTCCAGTCTGAGGCCATTTGTAATAAAATTACCCTCTGAGGGAGATTCTAAGAGATTACCTCCCCCCCTACCCGCACCCGTTTCTCCCCATCACTGGGCTTTCATGACCACTGGCTATTTTTCTCTTCTGCACTATCAGTTTTTCCTCACCAGGCTATAAGTGCCAGGAGAACAGGGACCCCACGTCATAGAATTGCTTGCTCCTGGATCTTAATGAGGAGCCCTGGGCTAAGCATTGGGCTGCTAAACGTAAGGTCACCAGTTCGAACCCTCCAGGTTCTCCTGGAGGTGGAGGTGAAGGGTGGATGCTTCTGCTCCCATAAAGATTTGCAGCCTCAGAAACCCACAGGGATAGTTGTATTGTCCTATAGGGTTGCCCAGAGTCAGGTCTCAATGGCAGTGAGTGAGTCATTACTGGACACTTAACATTTATGTAATGAATAAAGTTTTGAGCCTTGATTGTGAACCCATTTTTCTTTATAAGAAATCAATGAATAAAGGTGAAATGTGTGCTCTTAAATTTACACTGGATTCAAAAAAGCCTGCTGTTGAGTGGATTCCCGTGTTGGTGACGGTAGACCTGTGCGTCATGGGTTCACTGTTTTTCAGGGGAAGACTGCCAGGACTTTCTTACAAAGGCACTGCTGGCTGGATTGGAACCTCTAGCCTTTGGCTGGTTAGCAATTGAGCGCATTAACATTTTCAATCATGGTGTGTGTGTGTGTGTGTGTGTTACAGACTCCTTACACAGAGGCCTATGCTTTTAACCAGGCTCTACTAGTTGCCACTCACTAGCCAACTGGCGCCAAGCAAAAGGAGCTGGCTGCTAGAAACCAACGTTGGCACATAAGACCTAAAACCCCACTGCAGAGTCATTCCAGCATGTGACAGGGAAGACCTGAAGCCCACAGGGTTTCTTTCCTAGGCTATTTTTTATGAAAGCAGATCACCAGGCCTTTTTTCCGCAGCACCTCTGATGGGTTCCATCTACCAAGTCAGTGCCACTTGTGCCATCTCGGGACTTAGCGTACTCCATCTCTTTCATTTTAACTGCCACTTGGTCGATTCTGACTCATAGTAAGCCTAGAGGGCAAGTTAGAATTGGGATTAGGTTTCTGGGATTGTAACCCTTTGTGGAAGTAGAAAGCCTCATCTTTCTCCTGAAGAGTGGCTGGTGGCTTCGAACTGCCCACCTTGCAGTTAGCAGCCCAATGTGTAACCACTATACCACCAGGGTTCCTTGTAGTTTATGACATAGAACACCACATATAACTCATTTCGGTATCTATATGAATCCACTCTACCCCTCTTGCCCTAGTGAGACTATAATTCAGATAGTTTCCTTTTAAATTGAAGTTTTATGTTTTATATCCTTTAGTTGTTAGAAGCCTTATTTTATTCCTTTTAGTTGGTAATAAAGCCTATGGTTCTTTTTTTGGCTATAATAAAAGCCAACAGTTTTAAAATCTCAATAACTTCCTTTCAGTGTTATCTGTAAGAAAAAGCGCAAACGGAGTCAATACTTAGTCATTAAAATATTCAGCAATCATTTAGACTTGTGGAGTAGATAGGATTCAAAGTTTCATCAATCACATTATCAAACATTCATATAGGTACATATAGCAAAGGGGCCAGTGGTGGTGTTGGGTACGTGTTGGAGTCCTAACTCTCAGTCCCTGCTTGAGAGAAAATGTGAGACTGTAGGCTCCCATCAGGACTGACAGCCTCAGAAACAGCATCTGGAGGCCCTAAGAGGGCAGTCCACGTGATGGCAGCCGGTGATGGCAGCGGTGTTTCTTCATGCCATCAAAAAGCAAGCTCTGTGCCCCACCACCTTCTATCTTATGATGTAATCTGCATAAGTTATTTTACGTTTTAAAGGACTTAATCTTATTTAAAAGCTTAGTGAGAGAAAGACAAGTATGAAGGTTTTAAGCCACATTTTAATTCGCTCCAAATACTGCTGATGAAAGTGGCTCACTAACTTTACTATTTAAAGAAAGGTGATTCCCCACCCACCCCCTTTGCTCGCTTCTCTAGAAGTCAGGCTTAATTGACTTGATGTCACCCTAAATAGTACTTTACAGCCCCAAACCTATGAGTCTTGAACTTAGAAATCAGTATTTCCCCTACCTATTAATGGTGCGAGAAGTGAAGCAAAAACAAGACCAGAAGCCTGTCGGTGGCTGGTTTTCCTCTCATGTCCAAGTGTGGGTCTTTCAGATTCGTCTGCTTCCTCTTTCACTTTTAAAGGCACGAGTGTAAGGAAGTGTCTCAAAAGGACAAGATCGGTTTTAAAATTCCCAAACACATTTTAGTCGAAACGTATGACTGCCCAAACTATTATTCACAGTGGTTTGAGAGTTCTGGTATAGGGCGCTGCTTCTTAGTGTTTATCTTTCTGAATAACCATGGAGTTTCCTTCTTAGGAACAGGCTGCATCTTGGGGAAGCCAGCATGGCTAAACTCGGCTAATTTGGTCACAGTTCAAAACCAGTAAATCACGCCCGGCGTCATTGAAAATAGTGACACAATTTGCATGGTAACAGCACTGGGCCTGCGGAGAGAAACACGGAGAAGATTCCCCTGGAGGTCCCTTTTACTAAAGCTGATCATTCTTGTCAAGATCAGAAATGAGAATATTCTCTTCTAAATGCACCGTACTAAAGTTGCTTGTTGGATAGTAGGGATTCCGGAACGCTGTAAGCCTCCTGAAGAAACCACTGTTCTGCCTGTAGACGTAGACGGCAATGGTGGAAATGGCCAGAAGGGCTAACAGTGTGAGTGTGACGGCCAGAGGCACGGCGCTGTGACTTGGTCCTGAAGGGAGACGAGACAGAGGAACACGTCACGACAGGGCAGCGAGGCGGCCACAGGGGTACCCGTCATTTTCCCATCTCCTGTCCCAAACCTACCTTCTTTCGGATGCTCTGTTAGAACGTGGGCATCTAAAATAAAAACACACACACACAAACAGTATGTTGAGGTGAAGATTTCCTGTGGCAAAAGGATGTCAATGTTTGCAGCTGGGGTCAGCAAACTATGGTCCACTATGAGGAGCCAGATGACAAACCATTTTATGGCGCCCAGCCACAGACCAGCTCTGGCTGCCTGTCTTTACAAGTAACGTTCACTTCTGTGAACGGTCTACGCTGCTGCTGTGTGCTAAAGGCACTGCCGAGAAGTTGTGACAGAGACCAGCTGCCCCGCAGCCCCCAACCTAAACCACTTCCTGTCGAGCTTGCTGACCCCTGACTTACAAGGAGAGCTTGCTGACCCCTGACTTACAAGCGTCATCATTAGCACTCACAAACATGAATACCACACTGATTTTTTTCAAAATCAAAGAGCCCCTATCCAGTGTCAGCACTGTGCTGAGCATATCAATGAGTAACATATAAGGAAGTCACAGTTCTGTTGGGATCTAAAGGGAGCCTGCCCAGCCATGACGATGCCCTGCTTCCCTGCAGGGGCTGTTATATGAGCATCTTCTCGCGTTTGTGAGCTCACGGGTCCTGCGGCACAAGCAACAGCTCCTCTGTACACAAAGCGGTCTCCTGCTGGAGGAGGTTTCTCCTGCAGACATGTGTCCCTTCAGGTAGAATCTACTTCTAAATCTGGGTGCCACCCAGGTCCCTGCGATGGGATTGGCTTGAAGGCGGGAGGTTTGTTTGGGCTAAGGTGCCTGGGCGCCATAAAATGGTTTGTCATCTGGCTCCTCATGGAAAGGTGGGGGGTTCAAGTCCACTCCAAGGTGCCTGGAAAGAAAGCCCCGGTGTTGCTGAGATTACAGTCACTGAACACCGGGCCCTGGGCTCCACCCTGACACAGGCGGGTCACGGGTCACAGAGAGTTGGAGCAGACGTTATGATAACTTCCTTCCATTGTCCTGACCAAGGTGAAGATGCCGAAAAAGATGGAGGCGTGATCTCGTGGATCAACGAATGGAGCTCAGGGCACATGACGTTGCCCTTGCACCCTTTCATCAGCCTAAAAGGAATGGCAGCAGCATGGCCACATCGTTTCAAAGAGTTCATTTTCACAACTAAAAAATAATCTTGGATAATTCTCCATAAATATGACTGAAAT